CTATAAGTAATCCATGGTAACTTAATTCTTCGGTTGATTTCTGGTAGTAGAGATCGAGGTGTGTATTAATTGTCCCAAATATATGTACTCTTCTACTATTTCCGGTTTTGTGATATTTATTAAAAATATTGTTCTGTCTACTAGTTCGTTGTACATTACTTTAATTTTTGCTAAATTCATTTTGATGCCTACTTTATAGCTGGCTGTACTTATAGTTCATTAATTTGTGTTTGTAGTTCTTCAGGACTATTGGCAATTAGGACCTAGGAAGAAAAATGTAGAATATATAATGTTTAGGAGGGGAGTTAGTCACCGCGATCTTATAGATCTATTGTGTGTTCCCCTTCCTTGAGTTATAACTCATCGTACAGTCTCAGGGCTTTAACAAACGCCAGTATCTGAGACGGCTCCACAGAGACCAGCTCTCCATCCTCGACATCAGCCGTACCAAAGTTCATGGCACGAATGGTCGTCATCTCGGCGCACTCAGATAAGGTGTTCTGGTGTTTTCCCATTTTCCCCACAGAATCTGCATTTGTACCCTAACCTACTGAGGTGTTCGTTGAGGAGACAGTGTCCTGTTAGAAACCCCGTGACAATCCGAAGATTGTTTTTACTTAAATCAAGGAAAGCCTTTAATTTTTCTCGGTCGTAAGTTCTGAGGAACTTTTTCGGGTGTCTTAGACCGTTGGAGGACACCCATTCCAAGTTACGGATGGAGTCTTCCAGATTCTTTAGTTCCGCTTTCAGTTGGTTCCCGTTTGGAAAACATAACGGTTCTGGTCCAGTTAGTGGAGTGTTCGTTCCTTTCCTAGCTAGATCATTTGCTTTTTCATTGCCTTCTATCCCTTGGTGAGCAGGCGCCCAGAGTAGGAGGACTTATTTTCTTTGCCTAATTTGTTGAGCTTCTCTAGGCATTCTTTGACCAACTTCGAATTGATGGTTACTGATGAGTTGATCGCGTTAAGTGCTGCTTGACTATAGGATAGGATGGCAATTTCCTGTTTTCGATAATTCCTATCTAAGATAAATTGTACGCATCTTTCGACAGGGTAAATTTCTGCCTGAAGGATACTGGGTACTGGGGTACGTTCGGAGTATTTAGTTTTAGGCGCGGCCCAAATACTCCTATCCCTGTCCCTGCTTTGGTTTTGGAAGCATCAGTATATACCACGTTGTGGTATGATCTTTTATATGCTGAGTAAGCGTTTCTTTCTTCCCAATCCTTTTTATTACTCAATACTACAGTGAGGTGTTTCTCAAAGTTGGTACATCATACATACTTGGTATGTCATCCACTGGGGGTTGGAGAAGTGAAAATTCTCCCAGTACTGCTTCCGTCAATGACCATTCTAATCATTGTCGCATTGGCATAACTACCGACGACAATGTGCAGTGGTGTTAGGTCTAGAATGACCTCCATTGCTGCTGTTGGACATGTTCTCATGGCACCTGTGATGCAGATACATGCCAGTCTCTGTACCTTGCACAGGTTTTGCCTTGCTCCATAATAAAAATGTCGTAATGATGACATTTCAATTATACATCAGATTATGAATCACATCATTCACGTTTCGAAGGACAATAACATTACCTACTTTTTCTCTAACGTTATAGACTAAAAAAAAAATAAAAAAATTAAGACAATAATTATAAAGAAAAGTAAAAAAATACCACAAAAATAAACTACAAAAACTATCATTTTATTATGATAGCATTATCATGAATGTTTGTTCGCAATGATAAAAATAATATGCCATTCAAAAAAATCAACCAAATATTATTTGTTGATTCTTAAATTAGCAATGAACATCTATTCTTCTTAATATCTATGGTATAGATGCGTGTGAGGAACGTCTTCCAATGAATTTTAATAAATAGCAGATTAATCCAAGCGTATATCAGGACATACTCGTAGAGAATTTCTCTAATACCATTCAATTTTTACTTGTACTTGTGTCTTCAGGCAATATACAGGATGTCCCTCCTTCCTCGGAGAACAATTTCATTAATATAAAAGATACATGTAAAATATATTCATAATGTTTAAATATTAATATCCATGATAAAGGGATTAATTAAGACACCTTTAAAAAGAAATGCCACCTATTTTTTTTTGGTTGTTGGAAATGAGGATCGACGACATTCCCCACATAATTTTACATATAAAATTACAGCGATCTTCATTTTATAGCCATCGCTGACATCGTTTTTTTCTCGACCATATTGTATTTTACTACAAAATATATACTTTTTTGGAGATTTTAATATTAAAAGCTGCCGAAATCTGCCGTCTGATAAAATTTTCCTAACTATTCTCTCTTGTGTAGACTATGTATAGACTTTATCTTATAAGATAATGTAATTGACAGTTGTGGCTTGTCATTAAAATTCGAAAACGCTTTCTATTAATTTTTGATTTGTCATTTAAGTCCTGTGATGTTGAAATGGCTCATTTAGTTCGTAGGATGGAATAACGATTTTTATTGGAAAAAGTATACCTATTCGTTTTTTGACCCGTACCGAGTAAAATTTATGGCCTGTTTTTTTGAAAAATGTTAAAAGTGAAAGTGATGAAACCGATCGTGAAACGTATAAACCACAGGGACGTCCTCTCCTATTTCAGCTCTCGACCAAAGAGGTTAAAATAATCCCTTAATCCCGTCCGTAGCCCAGTAGCGCACTTATTAAAAATCAAATAAATGTTTTGAGTTTTTTGAGAAAATTCATTTAAAAATTAGGAAACAGCTTTGTGCGCGCAACTGCATATTATCAAATAAAATAGTAAAGCTATACGCACACTGGTGTGATCACGGCTGCGATCACGATCAGTGCAGCGATAATATGAGAGATCATTCTAGCACACACCAACGCGTTATTCACGTTCATCGCCGTACCTATGTAGTGCGCTACCCTGTAGATATAAATTAAATATGTGGATTATACCGGGTGCGCGTCTCTAAAAAAAACGAGATTTGGTATGTCAGTATGCGACATAAATTAGGATTGATTGACGTATTCAATTATTTTTGGTCACTTCCTGTTTCACCAGAAATGACTACAACTTTTGATTTTTAAATGGCACCTTCGGTATATTTTTACTTCATTCGATAGAAAATGAGACTCTAAGTAGAATGACATATCATATATCAACTTTTGACATTTTCGCATATGGTTTAGTTGAAATTGTAACATGCGGTTCATAACAACAATTTGATTCGAAATACCAAGTGTGTGGTATTAAATTATTCGTAAAAATTAAATGCCTTTTGTAAATATGCTAATGAGTTACCCTTGTTTTATTTGAAACAATTGAGATATGATTAAAAATACGATTTGGGTATCTTTTAACCGATCAAGATAAGACACGAAAAACGTAGACGATCAAATCTATTTTTCCACAGCCGTGGCACTCTAGATTAATTATACATTTAAAATATTTTTTTTAAGCGAGAATGTCAAAAGTTGATACGTCATTCTATTCTGTGTCATTTTCTATGGAATAAAGTATATGAATAAAGTAAAAAATGCGGAGGATGCCATTTAAAAATCAAAAGTTGTAGTCATTTCCGGTGAAACAGGAAGTGACTAAAAACATTTGAATACGTCAGTCAATCCTAATTTATGTCATATACTAACATACTAAATCATCGTTTTTTTCTGAAAAAATAAAAAAGTTATAGGATAGGTGTGCGTCACTTTTGAGACGCACCCGTATTATCATTGAATCTACCAAAAATTGAAATTGAATAATCAAAAACAGAAAACAGTGTCTGTTTTTAAGAGTGGGCCACCTTGCAAAAATATTCTGCTATTAAGCTTGGTTGACAACAAGTGTACTTATGTTAAGTACACTGGGATTAAAACTAAACTTGGATGCTGTCATAATAAAAGTAAACTTAGGTATACGGATGCTTGTATGCTGCTTGTATATGTTATCAACTGTTTTGGAACGAGTTGGAAAACTTCGTAAGATCCAAGTAAATACATTAGCTGCCAACTTATACTTGGATGTTAAGAAGCTTTTCAACTCGACTTAGATAAAAACAGTTGATAGGACAGAGCAGCGACTTAATGATGAGCAAATGTACGACCAAAATCAAGACACCCTTGGTCTTGGTTTTGCAGGGTCCAGTCACGGTCTTGCTGCAAGACGCTTGCAAGTCTTGAAATAGGAAGCAAAAGGAATAGGAAGGAAGAATAGGTGCAAGGAATAGGAAAAATACATGGTAGATAGGAAAAATACAGATTTACTAGACATAACGTGATAGCATCCAAGTGTATTCGATTTAAGTACACTACTTGTACTGTGTCAACCCGTCTTTAGATTCATTTCTTCTTTCTACGCCAATGCTTTTTCAGACTATTTCCTTGCGATTTTTAGCCGTCAATCAATCAGGGGGTGCTTCTATCCGATATTTAGCCTGTTCTGGACCCGTTCGAATATTAATTTCGTCATCTAGCCCTTGTCCCATCGCTCACGCCTAATCCGACGCCTATTTGCTGGGAGCGCCGAGACGCTGTCCCACGGGAACCGACGTCCACTGGTCCCTTTGTCCTCCCGACCGTCGATTAATATCCGAAGAATCGCAGCCGGACGGCTTAATGGTCACGAATTCGCGACTACGTGACCTAAAACTGTGTTTAACTGTATTATTCTACGTCGTGGATGGTCGTAATTAAGGCTGCGAGTCGAGAAAATTGCTTATTTTCCTCGGTTTTCGATTTGCGTGATCGAGAATCCTATTAATATGGTTTGAAACCAATCATAAAACTGATTTTACACGGAAATCTTAGATCCTAGGTTTGCAGGATTTTAGGCAACCAGTAATACATATATATCCGCAGCAAAAAAATATTTACTATAATTTTTAATTACTTTTAAATAGGAAATTTCTCGTAATACTAAAAGTGAGTGAATACCTACCCTACCCCTTAAACTTTAATTACATTCAATCCTAAATTCTTCACAAAAGACAATCCCAAATTCTTCACAAAAGCAAGAAGAATTTTTTTCTCCTCCCTTCTCCCATATGTTTTTGACGTTCGAATTTGTATCCTTCGGTCAAAAATTTTTATGTTTTAGAAAATGAGACAAATTTCTCGCTGCTGTTCTAATAATAGGTTTGTTTTCCTATGTAAAAACAGTTACATGAGACATTGAGGTCGTTGTTTAAAACATTTACGGTACCCCGGTTTCGTCAACACGAGAATACCACTTTTTGCGAGGGTGAAAGTTGACTTTGCTTTTTATGAAGGTTCGAAAAGTGATCTAATTCCTAGTGAAAAATGGCAAATTTAGAGGCCAAACACTTATTTGCTTATAATAGGTAATTGTCTACATCCATATCTATAAGTTTTGCTAATAATATATGATTTTTTTGCAGATTTCCAGACAATGAGCTGAAAAAGTTACTTGTAGTAGCTTACTTTCCTTTTGGAGTTATTCTCTTATTATTACGCAGCGTTCTAGCGTTATTTTTAGTTATTTTTGGGCAGGTAAATATCGTCTCTTCTTTGTAGTAACAAAATCTAAAATTCTATTAATGATTTCAGGTTCTCCCTGATACTCAAGTGACTCAAAACTTTTTGTATAATCTTGCCTGTATATGTTTTGGTATAACAGTATCTGTAGATAATTTAAAACAAAAAGAAAATGTTAGTGTATATATTGGCAACTATTTGTCAATCTTGGATCATTTGGCTGTTAGTAAAGCATTAGGATTTATTTTGGTAGGACATTCAGTATTTATTTCAGGCATTTAATTACGGATTATATCGTATTTTAGCCATTAAACAAGACACCTCTTCAGAGTCTTCCGGGTTTAGGAATAACAAACTTGGGAAGCATTAACAATGCAGATAGTTTTAAAAAGAATCTGGAAGTTGTGCTTAAAAACAAAAATACATCGGTATACTTATGTCCAGGTTAGCTGTTGTATTATGATTAATTAAATTTTAACAAACTATTTTTTAGAGGAAACACCCACAAATGGAAGGGCTTTGTTAAAGTTTAACTCTAAATATTTTGAGTTTTTCGAAAAAGTTCAGCCAGTATGTATTACAGTGAAAAGACCTTTGGATATAGCTATATCTACAATTGGATCGACTTACATTAATGATGTTCTGTATTTTATGTATGCTCCTTTTACAAATTACACAATTAAACTTCTACCATCTTTGGAGAAGAAGAGTATTTCTACTGATGGGTTTTCAGAAATTGTTCGAGAAAATATTGCTTCTGAATTAAAGGTACTTAACTTTGTTTTTACTCTATATAAAAGAACATTTTTAAGTATCCACATTATTTTTAAGATTACTGCTTCTCCATTATCAGCTTCTGATTTATTGGAATGGTCTAAAAGATACTTGGCAGAAGAGAGACGTAGGGCACAAGAAAGGACTAATCAATTAAGTAATTCATTCTCGTCAGCATCTAATCCAGAACTAGTGAGGATGGCTGCTCAAGTTAAAGAAGTTCTACCACATGTGCCTGTGGGAACTATCTATAATGATTTAAGTGAGTACTAACTTTACCGATAACTTGCTCAGTGATAACTTATCATAAGAGTCTTCCAGTATTTAATAGAATAATTGAACTACATAGTTCAATTCTTTTAAATATTAATTCTATTAAATATACTACTAATATGAAAACATGACTGTGCTTTAGTCATGTCTCATGGCTAATCTTACTGTAGGCTTGCCCGATAAATTCTTTCTTCTTTTTTATTACAGTCCCCACGATAACATCTTTTGTTTATACAATTTTATTGAAATAAGTTATTTGAACCAAATAACCTTAAAATGTACTTATCTATTTTTTTTACAGATGTAACACGTAGCATTGACACCACCATCACAAATATTCTCGAAGGTAGGATCAGGTTCGTTCCTGAAACGCCTAGACCGTCTAGTCCTACACCTTCGACGAGCCAACAGCCTTCAACATCAGGCTGTACATCAAGTAGTACCCCGTCTAGGCAGGGTGCATGTACTTCATCTACTCAGTTTAATACAGGGGCCTCTACCTTTGGTAAGTCGGCCAATGAGCGAACAAAATCCATCAAAGAAAGGAAGGAACAGCTGATTGCGGCGGCTAGGAGAAGATACATCGAAAAACATAACCTGGATATACCTGTGTAACAGAGACACATGTTTTTCGAACCGCCGGTTTGTTGTAATATGTAAGGCTAGTTGTTATATGATTTAAATTTTTCAAATGTGTCTCAGTTGTAATTGACAAGGGATGATTTAAATATTTTTATTCATAAAGCAAAAAAAAATATTTTGAAAATTATGTGGATTTCTGTTTAAAAAAAAATCATTTAGTTTTTTAAATATATTTTTACAATCCATGAACGATTTGTAATGTTTACAAAATTATTATACAGGGTGAGTTTTAAATAAGTGCAAATGTTTTCAGGGCTGGTAGATTTCGATAAATGAAACATATTTTCTCTTTATCGTTTTTAAAACAAGTCCATAAACGAGTTATTTTACTTTGAAAATTTCCAAAAAAAAATATTTTTTGCTTAAATTTTGAAAACAACTGAATCTATTCTGGGTTTTCTTTCTTGTAAATTTAATTTACTACCTATGTTGCCATATTATCAAGAAATTATGTTTTTTAACTGAAAACTAAAAAAAAATCCAAATTTAGAAAAAATTTTGTCGCGAAAAAAACTCATAATCGTGTTTCTGGGGTCGAAATATACTCTACCCCTAAAAATATTTGCACTCATTTAAGACTCACCCTGTATAAATTAATTTAAAGTAAGCTTTCTTCCGAAAGATATCAACATGGCTATCTTAAAAAATACAGAAATACCTACTTAAAAATCATAAAATAGTTTCCATTTTGAAAATGTAATTTTTGAATTGAGGAATGAAAATATTTTTAAAACAATCTGATGTCTAGAACATATAAAAAAACATTTAAGAAGAGTTAAGGTAGATTTTACTCTTGAAGAATACATAGGGTGTCGCTTTTTTAATAAAGAATTTGGTACATTTAGTTTTGAAATTACCTGAAGTGTAGTAGACTGAGTATGATATTTAAATGACTTATATTGATGTTCGTACTTGTTCCTATAGAAACACCCTGTATCTTGTGCAGTGAGATAATATATGATTTTACTAGACCACATCTTAAAAATAACAGAATAATATATATTTTTTTGTTCAAATGATAGACAAAGTTGTCACTATCATATACTTTTGCTTCAGGAAAAACCACTTTTACTTTTGTATACAGGGTTGTCCGAATTGTATTCCGGAAACTTCGGCAGCATATTCTGCAGATAAAAATAGGTAAAAAAGTTTGTATAAATGTATGTCCTAAAATGCTTACTTTCGGAGATACAGGGTGTAGAAATTTCATTTTTATTTCGATTTTTTCCAAATAATTTCTGAAGTACCGTCAATATTTAGATGAAATTTGGTGTCTAGGAGTTTTTTGACATGAGAAATTTGATTTTGATGTCAATATGACTCCTACTGGTAGAAGGGGCCACCTACATGTGTTTTAACTGTTTTGAAGCGTAATAACTTTTTGTCCGTACCTGTATAAAACTACCGAGGAAAAAAATATACATCTCTGTGATTTTTTACATAAAAAATATCTCTTTGTAAAAATCTCTACGAGCAACCGTTCTCAAGATATTTAGAATGGAAATAGTCATCACATGCCATTATTGACGAAAAATAAACACGTTGAGTAGATAGTTAATTTCACTGAAATAATAAATTTGGGAAATTTATATTTTGTTAAATTAATCATATTTTTTCTGCAAAAAAATGATGATAAAACAGTTTTTATTGAACTTTTGGTACAAAAACATTTCAAATTTATGATCTCGGTCTAATAACTATTTAGTCAACATGTTTAATTGTCATGTCATTAACATGTCAGTGATGACAGGTATTGATAATTTCGATTCCAAATATCTCGAAAACCATTAGTCGTAGCGATTTTTACCAGGAGACCTTTTTTACGTAAAAAGCGTCGTAAATGTATATTTTTTTACTCAGTAGTTTTATACAGGTACGGACGAAAAGTTATTACTCTTCAAACCAGTTAAAAAATATGTAGGTAGCGCCCTCTACTAGTAGGACTCATATTGACATCAAAATCAAATTTCTCATGTCAAAAAACTCCCAGACACCAATTTTAATCCAAATATTGAAGTTACTTCAGAAATTATTTGGAAAAAATCGAAATAAAAATGAAACTTCTACACCCTGTATCTCCGAAACTAAGCATTTTTGAACATACATCTATACGAACATTTTTACTTATTTTTATCTGCAGAATATGCCGCCGAAGTTTCCGGAATACAGTTCGGACCACCCTGTATATTGTTTTTTATATTCTATCAAATTGTATACATTTTTTAAGCAATGTTTAAATAAAATATTCATTAAGAAAATTTAACAGCACTGAATAATGTAATTAATATTTATATTTATTGACAAAAAGCAGACAATGTATGATAATATTGATGAATTCAATTATTTTTCGTCAGAGTACATTTTTTAATTATTTGCTATTTTTTTTATTCAGAATATATTTATAGGCATAAAAGATATTTTAATGACAGTAACTTTTTTCTGAAAGTACAATATACTGTGTGTTTAAGTGAGCTTTGACTGTTAAACAACAAAGAAAAAAAAACCGGAGCTGGTAGAGCAAAATTTAGACATTACTGTGGATTTGCAAATTTTTACAACCACCATATTGAGAAAATAGATATACAAGGTGTCCCAATATTCAGTGGACATAAAACTACTATGTATTTTTGGAATTAAAATAAGTTCAATGGACACAATTTACCTCTATACAAAAGTGCTTCATTTGTCCGCTAGAGGGTATCAAACTTTAAAAAAATAATCACATTTTTTGAAATATCTTAAGAACCGTTATTCCGATTTGAATGAGATTCTGGGTGACTATGTTTTGGTAAGCGCTTTAAAATTTGACTTTTACAAACATCAAGAAAACATACGGGAAGGGTGAAAACTACCTCCACCCCTACATAAATTTCAGTCTAAATATTTTCCAACTCCACCGACGACAGATTGGTCTCTCTAGTACTTACTACATTTTTACCAAGTACTGCTAGATTCTACATAAAAATGTTTGCAAAAATGCCAGGAATATTTGTAATTTTCAGAGCCAATATAATATAAATTTTACTTTCCTAATGACAGGTAAGTGTCAATGGTCGTCATTTCCAAGCGAACTATGACGCCGTTTAATTTATGAATCTTATGGTGTTACCTAACCTTAAAGAATTTTGTTATTTAATAGTCTTTAGAGTTTCATATGTCAATTACAACTGAGCCACATACAATGGGATCATTTTTTCGGTTAGAATTTCTTATTATTTAAAAAAAATTATTTGTTTTTTTGTAGAGAATTCTCAAAAAGGCAAAAGAATCTAGTAAAGCATATACATATAGTTCAAAAATAAAGAGGTCTTTCTTGTCTCATTGTCTAATAGCGTACTTAAAAAGAATTGATTCAATTCTTTGTACTAACAGATTGAAATAGTTTTCTGTGTTGTATACTATTCTCGTACAAGAACCTGATATTGTATAAATATTCTTTTGATAGTTTTATTTAATTATTAATAGTAGAAATGTTTATGTCAGAATTTTAAAAGATTGTTATATAAATTATTTTATATAGTCATATATCTCGATTTTATCTGGGGTTATTTATTTCGTAAACTAAGTAAAATTGAACCATATAATGTTTATATATTACGGGATCTTAGATCTTTTTACTTTGGTAATGGAGTTACTACATAGAAATATAACGAAAAATTAAATATACAACTTAGAAATATAAAAATTCATTTTTTTGAAATTTTCTGGGTGGTGTGGTATAAAATAGGTTCTGATGTATTCTAGAGATCTTTTAAAGTTTAGGGCATAAGCATTTTTATTTCTCACTGTTATGTAAAAAAAGATATATCTAATCACAGCATCATTTTATTGTTATTTATTCTAAGTAATAAACTACACCAAAAAAATAAAGGTTATTGAGTACAATTGCATTTATTTAACAATATGGAATGCTTAGGAGGTATGTATACAGGGTGTCCCAGTCTGAGCGTGCATTAGAAGTTTCCAGAGAACCACAATATCTAGATCGGAAATTTTTTGCACATCGTTGTTTTACAACGAGATCTATCGATTAAAAATATTTTCAATATGGCGGCACTTCCGGAAATACCGGAAGTTGACAGCAACTTTCTTATTTTAAATAGATGCCCCCATTTTTTATTACATACTTAAATTCTCTGTAAAATTCTATGAATATTGATGTTAAACACTTTATACCTAACATTAACAGTTTTTGAGAAAAAAAAATTTAAAATTTTTGGACGAAAAAAACTACCTGTCAAAAAAATGTGTAGAGCACAAAAGTCAAATTTAGGGATTACCACAGCTACTGTGCCATAAAGAGAAGACATGTAACTATATATTTCAAAAATTAAATTGTTCAAATGTCATATAATAATTGCGGTAGCTGTCATGGAATTGAGCGATTAAAAAATTATCATAAATCATTTTTTTTTAAATGGAAACCCACTTTTTTTTATTTCACTGAAAAGGTTTGTTAATTCGTTACTTTTTAACTATACATGTTCCTATACCTAAAATAAATCGTTCTTAAGTTATTTAAGATTTAGTTTGAAAACGTATATTTTTCTTGATTTCATCTAGCTTCCTTTGACAGTGTCAAACAGTCAGACTATTTATTTCCATCTGTCAGAAAACAAATTATTTGAATTTCCTATATTATAAATACTGCCTGCCTTAAGAGTTTAAAAAGGGTATTATTTATAAAAATATATCTCGTATTTTCGCCCTTTAGTAATATCTAATAGTTGATATTATTAATTATTAATAATATACCGTATGATCGAAAAAAAACAGCGCAAAATTGGCTTGGAAATGATGATCGATAACATACTGCTTTTTGAACAAAGGGTCACAATATGACATGGCCAGATCTATTGTTTTACATCACTTGACGTTTAGTCATAGGCTATATACTCTTTAATATCAAGAAAAATATACGCTTTAAAACTAAATCTTAAATAACTTAAAAACGATTTATTTTAGGTATAGGAACATGTATAGTCAAAAAGTAAAGAATTGAAAAGTCTTTTCACTAGTGAAATAAAAAAAGTGGGTTTCCATTTGAAAAAAATGATTTATGACAATTTTTTAATCGCTCAATTCCAAAACAGTTTCGGCCATTATTATATGACATTTCAGCAATTTAAATTTTGAAATAGATAGCCTCATGTATTTTCTTTATAGCTTATAGCACAGTGGCTGTGGTAATCACCAAATTTGATATTTAGACTATACACATATTTTTGACAGGCAGTTTTTTTCGTCTAACATTTTTAAATATTTTTTTTCTCAAAAACGGTTAATGCTAGATACAGAGTGTTCAATATCAAAATTCATAAAATTTTACAGAGAATTTAAGTATGTAATAAAAAATGGGGAAACCCATTTAAAATAAGAAAGTTGCTGTCAACTTCCGGTATTTCCGGAAGTGCCGCCATATTGAAAATATTTTTAATCGATAGATCTCGTTGTAAAACAATGATGTGCAAAAAATATCCGATCTATACATTGTAGTTCTCTAGAAACTTCTAATGCACGCTCAGCCTGGGACACCCTGTGTATGTTCTTGATCAGTACATTTTGGCGAGCTTCTATAAATATATATAATATAAATAACGAATCTTAAATATATAATAATCTTAAATCTAGAATGGCATTGGAATGTAAACTTCTCATCCAAATTAACAACATATATTTTATTTATTTAAATTATACCTTAATACAACATTTGTAGTGCATTCACCAGCACGAAAAATGGCCACCTTAAAATTTTGATGTATCTTAAAGTGTAGCATATTTTGTTCTAGTGAGCCGATTTTGACAATGTTTTAAGCAATTTGTAGCTAAATTATTTGACTTTTTAGTATCGTTTTCTAAATTTGAAAGTTTCCATCTGTCAATTATTATACGAGGGAAAACAAAATGTTGATATTTTGGTGAAAGTCTGAAATACCCTGTGGAATATGTTAACAAAGCAAGGAATTTAAAAATCATTTTATCGTCTAGGTACGTTTTTTCTCGATAGTTAGTTTTTCATTCATCTCAATAGCTTTATTTTTCGACATATTCGCTTTTGAATAAGACAGTAACGATTTACAGATATTTTAGCATTGATTTTGGGTCCTTATCCTCATCAACACACTTATAAATTAGTGTTTATTGTTTTTGTAATGTCGCTGTCATTAAAAAGTCATATTATTAGTGTTTACTGATGTTTACTCTAGTAGAGATGATTTTAAATTCTGATGTATCGACTATTGCTGCTTTAATTGATCATGGTAAAAATCAACTTTTGGGCTTAAAACCATATCAGCTAGAGTAACTGCCCAACAGACAATAATAATATGATTTTTCAAAGACAGTAACATTAAATAAATCATAAACACTATTTTATAGGTCTACTGACTAGGACCTACTAGGACCAAACGCAAAGGCATGGTTTTAATGTAAAAAATATGAAAAAAAGTTAGTGCCTTCTTCGTAACCTAACCTGACCTAACCTAAACTAAGTGAATATCTCCAAAAAAAAGTTATTGAGATGAATCAAAAAACAAACTATCGAGAAAAGGTGACAAAAGAGAGATCTAGATGAAAAAATTATTTATTAATTCCTTGCTTTGTTAACGTACTTTACAGGGTGTTTTAAATTTTCACCAGAATATCAACATTTTGTTTTCCCTCGTATAATTCACAGATATGGCAACTTTCATTTTTAATTTAGAAAGAGATACTAAAAAGTCAAATAATTTAGCAACAAATTGCTTAAAAAATCATCAAAACCGGTCCTCTAGAACACAATATGTAAAACTTTAAAATACAAGAAAATTTTTAGGTGCTCTTTTTTCGTGCCGATGAGTGTAATTTCGAAAATATTAAATGCTGCTTTATTTTAAATGTTCATTAATTTTGACAAGAAGTTTAATAATAAATTTGATATACCATAATCTTTATATTGTCAGTAAGTACATTTGAATACATTCAAATATTTAAATTTCTTTGAAATATTTTTTTATTGGCATATCATTTTCACCTTAATATAAATAATAATTCTTACATATACAGGGTTGTTCACCACATACGACACGGAGGATTGTAGCTAAACAATTAGATTTTTACAAATTGTAAGTTTTGGTATCGTTGAAGGACTTTTAGAGCTACAATTTAAAATGATTTTGCAAGATACAGGGTGTCCCAAATAGGTAAAAAATATTATAGTTGTATTTTTTTAAACGGAACACCATGTATATTATTCTATTTTTAGATTCTACGACTGAAATAAAGATAAATTTGATTAAGGTTTATTGCACTTAAACCTTACCGTTTTTGAAATATTTTCAATTTTGTGAAATTGCAGTAAAAAATTAAGGCTCCATTTCTCCAAGGGTATAGAAGGTTTTAATACTAAATATTTTCTAAAGATTATTTATTGATCAGATATTATGTTGCAATAATAAAAATTCTACTACCTTATGCAGAGCGTTCAAAAAATTATATTAAATAATTACTACCTTTCAACAATAACTTGTTTAATTTAAATGGAACACCCTGTATATTTTACGTGAATCAGATGCACAATTTAATTGTCTATCAAATTGTATTATACCATTTTTCACCTATTTCTTCAAGTTTTCGTTGAAAATGCATTTTCTTATTATTTAGACCTTATTTATCACTATACCCATGGAATATTGACATTTTAGATTTTTTTAAAACAACATATGTACAAAATATACAGGTGGTAAAAATAATAATATTGTACGCCCATTTGTTTACAAAAAGAAAATTATTTAAATCTCTGTCAAAGAGTATACCAATTATTACTAATTATTAATATACTCCGCCTATTATTTCCGCCTAACAATTAGTTAATTACATACTTAATTGTTTTAAGTAATAAATTATTCTAAATAAATGTGGATTTGACTCAGAAATCAATACAATAATAAGTTGTGAAAATGAAAGTCTCTGTTGTTATAAATAAGCATTCTTCAAAAAATTATATAAAATTTATAAGGTGTTACTTTTTACCACACTGTCTAATACACATACAAAATTATTTTTTTTAGTATTTGGAGCAATTATTGTTAATCATCATGTAAACCGTCGACTAATGTAGTTTAAATACTAGGATCATATTAATTGGTGCTATTTAACAAATATATAAACAGTTTTTCTTATTTTTTTAATGAAATAAGAAATAAGCGAATTATATCGACAATATTAGTATCTGGTACTCTTTGAAAATTCGTTACATTTTTAAAAATAATCTAAAATGTCAATATTCCATGGGTATAGTGATAAATGAGGACTAAATTATAAGAAAATGATACTTCTACGAAAACTTGAAGAGATAGGTAATAAATGGTATAATATAATTTAATAGACAATTAAATTGTGCATCTGATTCTCGTAAAATATACAGGGTGTTCCATTTAAATTAAACAAGTTATTGCCGTGTAAAGCCAGTAATTATTTAATGTAAATGTTTAGACACCCTGTATAAGGTAGTATTTTGTTTATTATTGCGACACAATTTAGTAATAAAAACTTCAATACCCTTGGAGAAATGAAGCCTTAAAATTTTTACTGCAATTTCACAAAATTGAAAATATTTCAAAAACGGCAAGGTTTAAGTGTGATAAACCTTAATCAAATATACCGTAGAATCTAAAAATATAATAATATACAGGGTGTTCCATTTAAAAAAATACAACTATAATATTTTTGACTTCTTTGGGACATTCTGTATCTTGTAAAAATATTTTCCAATTGTTGCTCTAATAGTCCTTCAACGAACCCAAAACTTACAATTTGTAAAAATCTAATCGTTTAGCTAGAATACTCCGTGTCGTATGTGGTGAACAACCCTGTATATCTTTAAGAGATCTAATTTTTTACGATCATTTTCATTTATCATGTTGTATAAAGGTAGTATTTTGTATATAAAAAATAAATAAAATCTAGATAATAGTTTTCATTCGTAAAATAAACTTAACAGATAACTAAAAAAAATCTTGTTATCGAATTAAATCGACATTACAGTAGACGTAAAAATAACTTTCAATTTAACTATATCTAACTTTGAAGTTTTTGACTATTATAGGTGACCCTGAAATGTTTGTTTAAAAAAACGAGTATTTTAGATATTATTTGTATCTTTCTGTTGTGCTTGAACCTTGAACGCTTCTTTTTCATATCTACATTGTGTCACCAGCGATCGATGGTTCAAAGAACCAATACAAATTGTCCAAAACACACATTTGACAGCTGTTTCAATTTTGTATTAATTTCATTGGTTCTTTGAAGTGTCACCATCGACGTAACGTAGTTCAGAGAACGAGACTTATGCTCGAACATAAATGTCATTTCTGCTTCTACTGTGACGTCATTTTCATCACATGGAATAAATAATTATTAAAATGGTACAGTCGTGGACAGAATTAATTCAAATTGCCGCTTGTTTTTGTCCAATACTGTACTAGTTAATTAATTCAAAATTTCGGTCTAACGCTATAAATATTACGGGTACAGTCCTGGAAAAAAATTAAATTTATATGCTTTGTCTTGTTTTTTTTTCTCCAATACTGTACAAGACAGTTGATTTAAAAAAAAATTAAGTGTTAGTTTTGAGTTAAGTGTTGGTTATTTTGCTTTTTTTTGTTCAGTACTGTATCAGTTAATCAATTAAAATACATCTTAAAGTCTAACGCATTAAAAAAGTCTTAAAATTAAAAGGAATGTATATATAAACAAAAAAAAATAATTTAGGACAAACAAGAAGAGTATAATATCTAAAAATTAAAATTGTTCCTGGGTTCCTTATTATTATTATTTTTTCTATTGGAAGGCAGCATCGTTTTTGTAAGCTAGATTGTCGATACCATCACTTGTTTTGGTCTCTATCCTGTGAGTACCGTTCAAGATGTCTTGCACCTCTCTATGACTCTTGCCTTTGGTTTCCGGTACGAATATGAAAACGAAAACGGTACCAACCAATGAAACACCAGCAAAAATGTAGAATGTTACGTCACCTAAAATAAATAGAGTTTTTATACAAGTGGTTTTTTTCTATTTAAACTGTTGTAGCGTGATGCAACTTAGATCTGCTGCTCAACTGCTCATTTAGAAAGAAACGTAAATTTTGATTTTAGATAGAATTAAGGAGATATTTAGGTAAATATATAGGTCTATGGAATCTTATAATTATGGAGCAAATCAATAACAAAGCAAAGAAAATTCAATATACATGAGATCACGATAAAGAGCAACCTCCTATATGAGGCAGAAACATGGAGAATAATAACTGAGAAATACAAGAAGATGATAGAGGCCGTACAAATGGATGTCATTCGAAGATCAATGGGAATTTCCAGACAACAACGAAGAAGAAATAATACCATAAAACAACAAAAGGGTATATATTACACAATAACACAGGATATAGAGAGAAAGCAGCTGATCTGGTACGGACATGTAGACCGAATGAATAATACAAGATGGCCTAAGAAAATAGTGAATTGGTAACCTAGGGGCAGAAGAAAACAGGGAAGACTGAAACTGGAATGACAAAATAGCGTACACAAAGCGATGAGTGAAAGAAACCTGTCAACAGAGGATTGTACAAATAGAACAGGCTGGAAAAGGTATCGGACAGCGTAGAAAACCGTTCTAAACATATATTAAGGAGATATTATAATTTTGTATGAACCTAGGGCACGTGAGTTCTATTTGAAATTGCAGGTTAAGCTTAATATTAATTGTTAAAACTAATTCTTAGTTCTTACCTCCTATAGCTGATACTAAGTTATTGTAAAATCTCGTCACCACAAATGCTAGGAACCAGTTGAACATGGCGGCTAATGAGGAGGCTACTGATTTAATTTCTGCAAAATAAGTCATATTTAAGATCTACACTTACCTGCATGAAAAACGACTATAACTTTTGATTTTTAAATGGAACCCTCGGTATTTTTTTACTTCATTCGATACAAAATGACGCTCTGAATAGAATGACATACCATAAGTCAACTTTTGAAATTTTCGCTTAAAAAATCGTATTTTAAATTTCAATCTAGAGTGCCATGGTTGTGTTAAAATAGATTTGATCGTCTAAAGTTTTTGACCAGGCTCGTTAAAAGATGCCCAAATCGTATTTTTACTTATATCTTAATTTTTTCAAATGTAACAAGGGCAGCATTAGCATATTTGGAAAAAGCATTTTATTACGAATAATTTGGTACCACACACTTGGTATTTCGAGTCAAATCGTCGTTATGAATCTCATGTAACAATTTCAAATAAACCATATGCGAAAATGTCAAAAGTTGACATATGATATGTCATTCTATTTAGAGTGTCATTTTCTATCGAAGAATATACCGCGGGTGTCATTTAAAAATTAAAAGTTGTGTCAAAACAGGAAATCAAAACAGGAAGTGACCGACAACAATTGAATACGTCAATCATTCCTAATTTATGTCATATACTAACATACCAGACCTCGTTTTGTTATATAGAAAAATAAAAAGTATTATGAGTAATAAATATTTTTTTAACAAAATGCTAATTTGAAGAACACAGATAGTTTAATATCTTGAAATTTCTGATCTACTTAATGGTGGAAATCAAAATTATTATCAAAACGCTGTATAAAAAATACTTACCAGGGGGCATTATTTCTGAGGATGCCATCCATGGGATGGGACCAAAACCTAGAGAGAACGTAGTGATGAAAACAACTAAACTGGCTATAGGTATGAATCCAATTTTGTCTATAGTGGTCTGGTCTACTAGTTTTCGGTCACTCAATGTGAAATAAATACCCAACAGTACACCACTAATGCACATAAAGAAAGCAGAACCTATCAGTAGTACTTTGCGGCCAAATTTGTCTACAACCAGTGATGAGATGAATGTGGCTACCACTTGTACCACTCCCACACCTGAAACAATCAATTTTAAATAGATAATTTCAAATAGCTTGGACCTTCAAGTATCATAATATGTGTACAGGGTGTCCCATTTTGGTTGAAATCATACGGTAACTCCGTTATTCGTGAAGATAGGAGGATGCGGTTTGCACAAACCTGTACCACTTTTTTTACGAAGATGCCGTAAAAAATGCATAGCCCTCTTCGTTTCTGTGCTACAGGGTCTTTTTGAAAAGTTAACAAATTGGGACAGCTCAAATAGAACACTCTGTATATTTATAAATCAGACGATCAAGCTTGATATGAGCTTCCCAAAAATATCGAATATATTTTAGAGAATTTAGAATGAGTGGAAGCGTAACCCCGTAATGACAAGGCCGGACAGCTTATTCGTGACGTCATCAACTGGAGGCCTAAACTTTGATTGCATTTGATACACTTTATACGTATATAATGGATATAAACTTTAAGTGCACCGAATTTTTAATAAATAATAATTAAACATAAAATTTAAAAACATCAGATTGATATCCCATCTCACATTATCCATCGTCATTGTATTTATTTATGCTGTAAGTGTGTCTAAGTTTCTTTTATTTCCTTTTCCAAGTCTATCATTTTTTTATAACAGTAGTTTTTCAGACGTGTATTTCTAATAGAATTTATGACAATTTTTACAATAACTTAGCATTATAAACAGTACATTGCGGAACTTTTAATAATGGTGTTATTACTTTTAATGTAATCCAAAGATATTTTTGATAAAAATATTTTTTATTGTGAATTTTGAGTAACTCCTCATGGCTTTGCAAAACTTTGTTAAAAATTATATATTCAAATAAAACTATATCATTTGGAAACCCAAGACTGCCTTTAGTAAGGTTTTTTATAAGTGAATTTTGTTCAATATCAGTGTTGTCTGAATATGTTAATTATACTGTACTGACTCCCAGCTACTTTTTCTGAATAGAACTTTAAATAGAACTTTTTCACCCTTCTATTATCGATTATAATTACTATGTCCACACACCTACCGATAAATCGATGACTGTCAACTGCGGCAATACCACTCCGCTACGACAGGCGCCGCCGCGCGGCACCACGTCGCCCCTGAGTAGGGGGCGTAAAATATCGATGAAATACATAATATATACTAAAAAAAATATCTATTTTTTATTGTTTTTTTTCTCATATACACTATTGTGAACTTAAAATATTCCTTTATTAAATTTGATTAACAAAAAGTGAGAGATAAACATTTATTGACTGGTATGATTTTTTCCGTATTCTATTAAAACTATTTTTATATACTATAATATTTTTAAAAACTCGGAAAAAGACATTTTAAAACTTCGAAATGTATCTGCTGTGTGAAAAAAGATCCACAATTTGAACTTTTATCGAGTAATTATCAACGCTGCTAAATAGAGTTAGACCTTCAGTTGGTGACGTCACGAGATTTTTACGTCACAGCTGTCCGGCCTTGTTACTACGGTGGTTACGGTGGAAGGGGGGTTAATCACTGCGATCTTACAGATCTATTGTGTTCCCCTTTCTTGAGTTATAACTCATCATAGAGTCCCAGGGCTTTGACAAAAGCCAGTATTTGGGCCGGTTTTACAGAGGGTAGGGTACTATTCCAGGTTGAGGATGGAGTCTTCCAAGTTCTTGAGTTCCGCCTTTAGTCGGTTACCACTTGGGAACCAGAACGGTTCTGGGGAAAGTTAGTGGAGTGTTCGGTCCTTTTCTAGCTAGATCATTTGCTTTTTCATTGCCTTCTATCCCTTGGTGAGCAGGCACCCAGAGTACGAGGACTTTATTTTCTTTGCATCGAATATATACACACTCATTATTTATTTTCATTATTTACTGCAATTTTTAAAAGATATAATTTTCTGATTACATTAAAAAATCAAAAAGGTATTTACTAAAATATTCATACACATATTATTTAGGAATATAAAATAAAATATTTTACTTTTAAACTGTTACCACTGAATCTCTGATATATTTTTCTATTTTTTTTTATAACCGAATTTGTTATAACGGGATTGGTTGGTAAATATCTAATCGATATTGATGAGTTGCCATGATATATTTCGTTTTCCAAAAATCCCTAAATACAGAAATCGACAATGGGCAAATCTGGTGATCTGTGAGGTCATCTGTGCCACCATTGGTCCCAATTCATTGATTTGGGAATCGTCGTTTAAAAAAATTCTAATATTTTCAAAGTTGTGAGCTGGAGCCTCACCAACTGATCGTATGACATTTCAGTCAATTAATACTAATACTATATATTAATTTATAAATTTCAATACCTATTGTGGCGTAGGCGTAAGGTATCGAACCTCCAGCCTTTTCGAAAATCTCTCCCATGAAGAAAATGACAGCGTTGATACCGCTAAGTTGTTGGAACGCCATCAACCCCATACAAATAACTAACGCCTTTTTGGAGGCTTTCGTTCTAATCGCTTGAAAGAAGGAAACCTAAAAATGTAACAGACAATGATTTAAAATTTCCAAAAGTTAAGAAAGAAAAAAAAATAATACCTTATTTTCTGCATCTTTATCTAAATGGTGTTTTATCTCTGCTAGTTCTTTTTCACTGTCGTAGTTGTTTCCTCTTAGTCTTTGAAGACTATGTAGCGCTCCTGCGTGATCACCTTTTTTCAATAAATATACCTGAAAAAAAAAGTTTTTAATTATTTTTTCGGTTTCTAAGCTAACCGTTTTATAATTCCTGATGAGAAAGAAACTGGTCCTCTTTAATAAAAACCAAAAATATGCAAGACTTGCAAGAGTCTTGCAGCAAGACCAAGACCCAGACTGCACCCTGGAAGACCAAGACTACTTATTAGACTGCAAGACCAAAGTAGTCTCGTTCTTGGTCTTGCATTTGGTCATCACTATTTTTTAGTTATTCATATTAGCTCAGGGCCGATACATCTTTTTACATGGGTGACCTTCAACAAATTAGAGATTAGAGACAAGCTGTAATTTTGCATGGAGCTTTATTTTGTAGATCTTTAAACATCCTGAAACCCCAGCGATGAACCGTTAAGCCGTCACCCCAAAACCACCCCTATAAGGGGTAAAAATGGCCCTTTTTTTACTTTTTCTTCAATAACTCTAAAACTACAAATTTTAGGAAAAAAAGTCACGAGTAACAAATTGAAGAGAAGAAAATTTCCTACCACATAGGTAAAGAACCAAAATTTTTAGAATTTCAGTGGCGTAGGTGCGAATTCTTTAATTTAGGAGGATTGGTTTTAATAACCCACCATTCTGTGTTTAACTTCAAATGAAAGCATTTTTGAGATAAATCTCGAGACCAAAAAATTTATTAGGATACAAGTTCCTATAAAAACGATCTTTTTAATAAAGGTAAGTTACCAGTGGCTTAGATAATTTTTTTAAATGTGCGTTTTCTACATTTTAAAAACATTGAATAAAAAAAATTACAGTTTTACAAATAGTTTCCCATGAAATAGATATATTGAAAAATTTACAAGTTTAATAACAAAATAAGGATTCTGCTTTGTTTCGTAGCTACAGGGTGTTAAAATTTTTCGATTTATTATAATTTTCTTCCAAGTACGTTTAGCGTTTTGAATGAAATTTTGAGGGTAAAAGTTACTATAAATACGACATATTTTAAAGCTAAAAAACTGTCGACATATTCACCAGGGACGTGCATATGAGCTATCACTGGGATATTTTTCTAAAAAAAGCATGTACGCCACTGACGTTTTTTCTCTTGTTAGCTATTTAATGCTGATTAAAAGTTGTCTCTTGATATTTTGTCGATTTTGGCTTCCTTGATGAAATAAAGGCAATTTTATTAATTTGCATTGGTCCCAGTCAATTAATATCGTTAACTTGCGATAGTTTTAATTAACTACCTACTCATTGATTCTTCATCAAAAAAATATGAAAAAGAGTTCCTATAAACATGGGTACTGAAATGCATAGTTTAAGAGATACAGATGTTAAAACTTTTTTAAATTAGGTTTTTGTAATTATCTTAAATATTATTATTTTTTTATTTGAAAATGCTGTAGATTGAACTAACAATAATAATAACTAATAATATTTAATAATAAATTAGGTAAAATATATAATTTATTAATTTTATTTTTATTTTAATTTTATTAATTGTGATTAATAAAATTGCGTTTATCTCATCAAGGAGGCTGAATTCAAGAAAATATCAAGAGATAATTTCTAATTTGCATTAAACGGCCTACACAATTTTGATATCAAAAGAAAGAAGGCGAGTGGCACACATGTTTTTTTTTAAATATTCCAGTCATAACCCATATGCACGTCGCTGATGAATTTATCGACACATTTTTAGCATTAAAATATGTAGCACTTATAGTAACTTTTACCCTCAAAATTTCATTTGAATCACTAAAAGCACTTAGAAGAAAATTATAATAAATCGAAAGATTATTAAGACTTTAACACCCTGTAGCTACAAAACAAAGCAGAATCGGACCTATGTTCATATGAAAAATAAATCTTATTTTTACGCGAGAAATCTCCCCACGAGAGATGGCACATGTTTTTTGAAACACCCTGTATTATACATAAGCGGTTCACACATGTGAGCGTGAGTTAGTCAATACATGCCTTTAAGTGTATATCTCTTGGAAGTCATTATCAGAGTACGTAGATCGCCGAGTAGCGACAGAAACCGTCGGCTCTTTTGATGTGGTGGGACCAAATTTTCTCTCTCTCTTTTGACGTGTTTGACAGATAGACTACGTATTTAACTGCTCAACTTATGAAGTGGTCCTATAAACATGATATACACTGCTCACAATTTGAAGTGGAATTAATTATAAAGTTTTATACATATCTTTTTTGTTTTGTTTTATCCTTATTTCTAAATTTGAATGTATAAAATATCTTACTGCTAATAAATAATTAAAAAAACGATTCGTTGCCTGAGGTATACTTGAAATAAAGTATATAGAGATATTTGATAAATGGCAACAGTGGCAACTTCACTTCTTCGTATGACAGATAACCTACTTATTTCGCGCAGCCGCAAAGAAAATTGAAAACGGGACTGTCGCTACTCGTCGGTTTAGGTACTCTGTCATTATACTCACCGGAGTTTCTGGTTGGAAAAAGAACACCAGACCAAATACCACAGGAATGAACACGCATATTATAGACAGAACTTGTGGCGAAAACTCGGAACCAAAAATGTAAGAAATTAATATTCCCACGGTGAGCAGCAGCTGGAAATAGCTACCAAGTGCGCCTCTGATTTCTTTCTCAGCTATTTCGCTGGTATAGAGCGGGGCAGCTACACAAAATGCACCACCTGAAAATATTTAGCTTATTAGGTTGTTATAAGTATCGTTTCATGCATTACAATCTTTATCTCTAAAGATGTTTTTCTCTAAATCTCTATCGATGTTTTTAATTATCGATATTTAGATATATCGATATTTCTGGTTATTCGTAAACAAGGTGACCAGGACTTTGTCCAGAAAAAGCTCTAGGTATAATCTACACATGTATAAATTATCGATATTTCTATGTATCGATGTTTTTGGACATCTCTATTCTTTGTACCTGCTAAACCTGTGAGGAACCGTCCAGTGTATATCATTCCAGGACCATTGGCGAAAATCACCAGTAACCATCCAATGGAGAAGGGCAGTATGGTGGTGAGACACGCCCATTTCCTGCCAATTGCGTCACAGATAAACCTGAAGATAAAAAAATAAAACAAAGATAACAAAAATACATTGTGCATTATTCGATTATTTATATTTTTTTAAATCCGTTTTTTTTGCAATGTAATTCCTATAAAAATCGTTATTATGATTAATATGGATTAGTGGGGTGTATTAACATTGATTGATGGAAAATAAATAATTAGACTGGTATTTTTTATTTAAAAACCGATAATAAGGCTAATAACAACAATAATTTGTTTTAGGAATTATCAGATAAGGAAAAATGATCTGTTTTGCAAAGGGTTAGGTTATTTTACCAAAATTCCTAATATTTCTATTAATGGGCCAGTTTTTGTTTTTGATTTTCAATCTTTCATTTATTAAAAATGTCTGTATTGTTTATTATGCCCATTATACTTATATATTGCGACAGATTAATTCTAAAGAGTAGTTTAGCATTATGCGAATTTTTCAGGATTAACTTTAGATGAAATTTGATATTAAAATTTTTATTAAAAAAAGTCACAGTGGTTCTTGAAATGACAGTCTAGTACATGACATTAGTCTATGATGATACTCTATGATACCATATACATGACATACGTGATACTGTATGTCATGTCCACTTAAATAAGTTATTATTTAATTAAAATTAATAAAAAGTATTTCGCAAAAATATTTTTTTTCAAACATCATAAAAGTCTTAATTTTTGCGACGTGATTGACAAAATAAAAAAGTAATTTTAACTCCTACGCAGAAAAGTAAAGTACTTTTTAACCTAAGCATAAAAGTACGAAAATATATGATTAATTGGCATAAAGTGTCAAATTCAACGAGCGTAACGGTAGTTTCTCGTTATACGGGGTGCATCTCAAAAGTGGCTTACCCCCTATAACTTTTTTATTTTTTCTGATAAAAAAACGAGATTTGGTATGTTAGTATATGACATACATTAGGATTGATTGACGTATTCAATTGTTTTTAGTCACTTCATGTTTCACCGGAAATGACTACAACTTTTAATTTTTAAATGAGACCTTCGGTATTTTTTTACTTTATTCGATAGAAAATTACATTCTGAATAGAATGACATATCATATGTCAACTTTTGACATTCTCGCTTTAAATTTCTATCGTATTCTAAAATCTAGACTGCTATATGGCTGTGTTAAAAACACTAATGTTTAACCAAGGAGTCTTGGAAAATACATTTGATTGTCCTGCCCAAATCGTATTTTTAATATATCTAAATTTGTTCACATGGAACGAGGGTGGCTCATTAGCATATTTGGAAAAAACATTTTTTTACGAATAATTTGATACCACACAATTGATATTTTGAGCCAAATTGTCGTTATGAACCGCATGTTATAATTTCAAATAAACCATATGCGAAAATGTCAAAAGTTGATATATATCATTCTATTCAGAATGTTATTTTCTATCGAATAATGCAAAAAATACCGAGAGTGCCATTTAAAAATCAAAAGTTGTAGTCATTTCCGGTGAAACAGGAAGTGACCGAAGAGAATTATTGAATACGTCAATCAATCATAATTTATATGTCATATAGGTACTAACATATCTCGTATTTTTAACTAAAAAATTAAAAAAGTTATAGGGGTGAGCCGGTTATAACTTTTAAACCTTTTTATATTATTTGGGACGTTTGAAATTGTCTAAACCAAACCAAACCCAAACGTACAGCCTCGCCGCGATAGGTGTCATTTTTAAACCTAATAAAACAATATACTATTCTTTTAAATACGCAAATTTACTTTTTATACTAACCCAATTGGAAAGCACATGACCATAGCACCCAAAGTAGCAAAAGAACCGATCCATCCTAGCATGTCCTGATCGGCGTAAATTCCATTGAGTTCCCCGGCACTCAGTTTTGTCGATATGGTACCTGTCCAGCCCAGCACCGTTCCAGCAGCTACTGAACCCAGGCAAACTAAGGGAACAAACATAACATTAGTTAACTTATTTCTTTAAACTATCGATACTTTCAAATAGGCCTAATAAAATTCGTATCCATTTTCACAAAGACATGGTATTAAATGTACCAGGTGTCCCACTAAGAATAGCTCTCGGCTTTATCTCGGAAAATATTAGCCATAGGGTTTACGGAAAAAAATATTTATAACTAAAGGGGCTATGAGAAATTGCTGGAAATTATTTTCAAGTTTGTAGAACGACCGCTAGGGGACGCAACTACAACAAAAAATATGAAAATGCAGTTTTACACGATTTTGCCTAGATAAGGTCTGCTATAAGTAATAGCTTCATAATCTTCAGTAAATTTTGAATATTTTTTGTTAAAGCCATTTTCCCCTATCTACCAAAATAAAGTGGTGGGGGAAGGTTAGATCTTTTTTTATTTAAATATTAATAACTCTGGACTGGATGATCGGAATTCACCAAGCGAGGGCTCGTTTACAAGACCGTTTCTTATTCTATATTGTACCATATAAACAATGATAATAAGCTTTTGAACGTAGACGCTAGTGGGCGTTGTCTTACAATTTAACAAACATTGCGCGTTTTTTCGAAAAAATTAAATGCAATAGTAAATGTAATGTTACCTGATAGTAAAGAGTAGTAAAAGCTTAAAAAGTCAGCGAAAACCGCATCTTGATATCTGCTTTCAAACCGAAGATATTAGCAAAATTATAACAAATACCAAAAAATAAGCCCTTAATTACCTTATTTTTACAACACGGTATCAGTAGCCCTCTTAATTATGCCCATTCTAACAAAAAATAAGATAGAAACAGTTAGTTTATTTTAAAATCGACGAAATACCAGAATACCTACCATAATACCAGAGGTATTAATATCTAATAATTAAGATATTAATAACAGTGAACAAGAAACGAATCTTTTAATTGCTTTTTCAAAATGCCTTTATTATTTGAAATAGTCAAGTTGTTGGCATTTTGAAAAAGCAATCAAAATATAAAAAAGCTGATAAGACTATCAAAATGTTGATCTAATAACAATTTGACGTTTATACTATTACGTCAAAAGCAACTTTTTTCCAAAGCCTACCATGACTTCACTGAATCATCGTTTCTTGTTCACTATTATATTAATATCTTAATTATTAGATATTAATACCTCTGGTATTATGGTATTCTGGTATTTCGTCGATTTTAAAATAATCTAACTGTTTCTATCTTATTTTTTTGTTAGAATGGGCATAATTAAGAGGGCTAATGATACCGTGTTGTAAAAATAAGGTAATTACGGGCTTATTTTTTGGTATCTATTATAATTTTGCTAATATCTTCGGTTTGAAAGAAGATATCAAGATGCAATTTTCCTTGACTTTTTAAGCTTTTACTACTCTTTACTATCAGCTAAAATTACAAATACTATTGCATTTAATTTTTTTGAAAAAACGCGCAATGTTTGTTAAATTGTAAGACAACGCCCCCTAGCGTCTACGTTCAAAAGCTTATTATTATTGTTTATATGGTACAATATAGAGTAAGAAACGCTCTTTTAAACGAGCCCTCGCTTGTTGGATTCCGATCATCCAGTCCAGAGTTAATTTTATTAATATTTAAATAAAAACAGATCTAACCTTCCCCCACCACTTTATTTTGGTAGATAGGGGAAAATGGCTTTAACAAAAAATATTTAAAATATACTAAAGATTATGAAGCTATTACTTATAGTACACCTTATCTAGGCAAAATTGTGTAAAAGCTCAATTTTATTATTTTTTGTTGCAGTTACGCCCCCTAGCGGTCGTTCTATAAACTTAAAATAATTTCCAGCAATTTCCCATAGTGTCTTTAGTTATAAATATTTTTTTCCGCAGCCCCTACGGCTAATACTTTCCGAGATACAGCTGAGAGCTATTCTTAGTGGGACACCCTGTACTAAGGATAATACATATACTCCCATATTATTCCAATAGAAAAACTTGTGAGATCTCATGTAAAACAATCAAGTCAGTTTATTTTATTTAGTTTCTATTGAAACACCTACTCAACAATTTTCTTATAATTTGTTGGTATCATTATTTGACATCTTCATTTCTGTAATAATGATAATGACATGACAATTGCACGGTATGATATTCTACTAATTCAAATGCATTATTCTTAAGTGCACCTGTTTACTGTTTATATTTACTTAGTAATCGAAATGTGGAAGATTATTTGTTTATAATTATGATGCAGTGCAATTTCCAAGTTATTGTAATTATTACAGAAAAAAAGATGTCTAATATTGATACTAGGAATTTATTACAAAATTGATGCTTAATAGGTGTGCTTCAATAGAAACTAAATAAGATAGTCGAAAATAGGCCTTCAATTACGAAGTTTTCATATAAGTTACTTTCAAAGATCTAAAAACGAATTGTGAACGATTTTTTTTTAATTCATCCCGAAAAGGGGTGAAATAAATAAATAAAATTATTTTTTCGGAATTTCGGAGAAAGGGCAAGTACTAGAAAAAAAAAAGTTGAAATAAAAGTTATAGAGCATCAAATTTTACATATAATTGGTCTCTATACTTTGTTTTGCCCAAATCAAAATTAACCGGGATAGGGTGGCTAGAAGCTAGGAGACAGATTTTATTCAACATTTTTTTTTTCAAAGTCCTTACCGTTTCTCTGATATTTGGAAAAAACACTTTATTTATACTTTTCACCCCTTCTCGGGGTGAATTTAAAAAAAATCTAAATTGAAATTTATAATTTTCCAAACAAATTGAATAAAAATGTTAAATATGTTATGAATTTTTCAGACGCTTGTTTTTTTTCAATTTCTTCTATCAACCCCTAGCTCCTAGCAACTAGCCATCAACTTTCATATCTGCAGCAAAAAAAGTATAGAGATCATTTCTATGTAAAATTTGACGCTCCGCAACTTTTATTTGAACTTTTTTTTTAGATATGATATTCACACATCATATTATTTAGACCTTTCATACAAAGCAAAATTATTCATAATATCAATACATAGTTTATTAACGTAGTTTTCATGTAGTTAATGAACGGGAAAAGACGTAGTTTTTGAAGAAAAACTACACGTAGTTAATCAGGTAAATTGCGTCTTAATTAACTACTTCCGAACCCTGCTTGCGAGACTTAGCATTTTTATATTATTTTGTTTTTGATAGAATCTCATTTTTTTGTAGGTTATCCTCCTAGTTTTTTTTTCAAAATAATATTAAAGAAGTTTGACTAGCGATCATTCATAAACTTTGAATTATTGTTGTTACTTAAATAAAATCAGACAATATCAATTTGATTAATTCTAGTTTTCTAACTTTTTGTTGAGAGGAAAGTCAGTTACCGGTATAGCGGAAAGACATTTAACTATTAATCAATAAGGATATTTCGAGATTTTTCATTTTCCCTTTCGTCAGGGCTTTTAAAGCTACCTAAAATTCAAAATTTGAAGTTTGTGGAACTTCTTGAACAGTATAAATACCTAATACGTTAAAATGACAATTGAGGGGCTTAGAATAAAAGGGGTACAAGTGATTTTTTGTTCTAAATGGACATAAGTACAGATTATAGATTCCACAAACTAACTAATTCACAACCAATTTATTTAGTATAAAAGAAAATTAAGTAAATTCTACACTCTACTTAGTGCCACTGTACAGGGTGGGTCAAATTTGACGCTTTTAAATGGAAACACTCTTTTCTATAGGAGATAGACGAAAACTAATATCGGTGTCTGGAGCTCAATTTTGATCAAAAACATGATGGTGAAAACCCCACATCAATATCTGTTACCGTTTCGGAGTTACGGGGTATTTTTCAAAAATGGGCATTTTTAACAAATCGCTGTATCTTTTATGCTATTGAAAATTTTGTATTTCTAGGAAAACATTTTCAAAGCACCTTTTTACGTAGAATTTAATGATTTAAGTCTCATTTTTTTAAAATTAATAATTTAAGAGTTATCAACAGAAAAATTGATTTTTTATTGGGGACACCCTCTATATTTTTAACTAACCGAAGAGAACAGAAGAAGAATTTAAAATTACCTTTCCAAAAATATAGCATACTTGATATTTTCTTATAATCCACTTCGAAATACAGAATTTTTAAAAGTTCGCCACTTATAACTAGTAGGCTTTGGACCCCTTATTGAAGATATGCCCTTAGTGGAACTCGAAAACATATTTTTCCAGCAAGACGACGCACCGCCTCTGAACGCTGAAGTTATCAGCAAATTTTTGAAGCCAATTTCAAGAATAATTGAATAGCTAACCAAGATCCCATCCGTTGGCCGTCGAGGATGCCTGACTTAGTGCCCATGGATCTAATCCTATGCATATATTTGCGGAAGAATAAAGGTTCCTTATTCTTCCGTATAATCTAGACAAGAATTAGAAATACTTAGCAGTTATGAGAGGGTATCTTTCACCCCTACTGAGTTAATGAATTCCGCGAGAAATGTTCAAAAACTGTCTCGTCGGTCCATGACAGAAGACGGTCGATATGTCGAACACCTGTAGCAAAATCTCATGTCTTGGTTTGCTATTTAGTTTTATTGTTATTAGATATAGTTTAAATCTGTTGATGTTGGTTAAATATATTTTAAATTGTTATAAAATTCTGCATCTCTCATAGCAAGTATGATTTTCGTTTTAATTGATGCTCACAGCTAGAATTTTTTACATTACAGCCGGTGCCGTTCGAGCAAAATATCAAGTGTGTTATAATTTTGGAAAGGTAATTTTAAATTCTTTTCAATAAATTAAAAATATACAGGGTGTCCCATATAAAAAATCAAATTTTTTGTTGATAATTCTTAAATTATTAATTTTAAAAAAAATATTCTTAAACCATTAAATTCTACGTAAAAAGGTGCTTTGGAAATTTTTTCATAAAAATACAAAATTTTCCACAGCAAAAAAGTTACAGCGATTTGTTAAAAATACATATTTTTGAAAAACACCCCGTAACTCCGAAACGGT